CGATATGTCTGAAAATAAAGTTACAGCCGATAGTCATATTAGCTTTACTCTCTCCGATATCGGCACTGAGTTATACCCTTCGCATTCGTTACAACTGATGCTTTCTTGTCACGGGTATACCTGCGTGGAATGACGTGTTCATGTGTTCATGCAGGTTGAAGAAAAGAATATGGCAGACAAATTCCTTTAACGAATCGTGTTCAGCTTTAATTCATAATTGCCACTTAAAGATTTTATTAGCAAGCCAACCCTGTCCACAACATACTATATATACACTGTATAGAGTTTCAGTGTATAGAAAATTAAAGGAAGCATATGACTGAAATATGAGGATAACAAACAGCAACCACGTTCGAATGCCATTGAAACATTACAAATTTGGAGCAGAGCAAACATGGACCTCTAAAAAATCAGAGGTGGGATCAGATCAAATGAAGTGGTTCCTAACTTTGGTCGTAACTTTTGAATAAGAAAGGATATTGCTTTCATATTTCACTGTACATTACCTGTGACAAGACCTTACCAAATATACTATTAATTTAAACCCCGTGAGGTTGACCTGGAGTTTGGCCTAATTTTCAAAAAATTTTAACATTGGTTGTAACTTTTGAGAAAAAGAAGATAGGCCGTTCATATTTGAAATCTGCATTACCTCTGACAAGACGTTTCCGAATGTGCTATATTTTTTATCCCTTTAAAGATTGACCATTTTTCCCCTAAATATTATCATTGCTGCTAATTGCTGAGGGAGAGAAGATATATGGGGCATTCATTTTTGTTATGTGCATTACCTGCGACAAGACGTTTCCAAATATACTATGACTTTTGACCTTCACTTTGAAGTTTGATCAATTTTCAAAAACTCTATCATTGCTGCTTACTTTTGAAGGAGAGAAAGAGATGGAGCATTTATATTTGTTATGTACAACACCTGTGACAAGACGTTTCCAAATGTACTGCGATTTTAACCCAAATTCACTGACTTTTACATGGAGTTTGACTTAATTTTAAAAAATGTTAACGTTGCCAACAACTATATTTTTTATGAGCATAACCTGTTACAAAACCTTTACAAATGTAATTTGATTTTTAACACCCTTACTTTGACCTTGAAGATTGATATAAATTTTAACATTCAAACAATGCTGAAAACTTATCAATGAGAGAAGATTAAATGTATCTTTTATATTTGACATGTGCATTACCTGTTTCAAGACCTTCCCGAATGTACTCGGGTTTTTGACCTCGTGACCTTGACCTTTAGCCTACAGTCTTTTTTCATTTTTTTTTTTACATACTAATAACTTTTGATTAAGAGAAGATTAGGCTTTCATATATCTGTGACAACACCTTTAAGAAATAATCATCATTTATGACTTTATGACCTTACCTAAAGTTTGATCTAACTTTGGCCATAACTTTTGCTCCAGAAGAAAGAGAGCTTTCATAATTTTTCGGAAGTGAATTACTTGTGACAATAATAATCATTCAAGTCAAGACCTTTCGGTTTGTACCATGATATTTGATCTCATGACCTTGATCTTGATGCAGTTTTGAAAGTCTTTAATCTTTGCCGCAGCTATTAATTCAAAAATTCATATCTTTTAATTAGGGATGTCAACAAATATTCGATTATTCGAATATTCATTCGATGACTTGATATTCGAATAAGAATTTACGATTCGAATATTCGTTTTTCTTTCTTCCAGATTTCACAACAAGAGATAATTATGGTTAATTTCGAGGACAACAAACTGAAACCCTTCTTTGTCAGTCTAAAAGATGCGAAGAGTTTACTCGACAAAATAAATTCATTGATCAATGAAATACTTATTTTATAGAATTAGTCTTTAATATAATAAAGGGATCAATTTCATTATAAATTGCGTGAATTACTTGATTATCTCGGGTTGTACTTCCAAATTTTAAAATTATTTTCCGGAAAATAGTTACTTACCTACGAAAATTGTCTTTGGAAGTGTTTGTTTATGTTTTGAAAACATTGTCTCAAGGGTTATAAACACGACTCTTATTGGTAGATAATTGTAATTAATTACATGCATTTAAATCTGAATAATCTTGCCCTTGGTAAGACGATCAGTTCGTCGTTTAGAGATTCAAGATATAATTTTTTAGAATTATATTTCGGGTGTTTACATATACACTAAATTCAATATATTTATTTCAAAAATCAACAAATAGCAAATGTAAAATTCCTTACTGTACACCTTCAAAATTCCACACCCACTTTTTCTTCCAAATCTGTCATGAGGGTAAGTTGATGCATATATAAAATTAAAATATTCGAATATATTCGAATACTTTCATTGAATATTCGAATATGAATTATTGACAAAATTGACATCCCTTATCTTTTTGTATGATGGGCAGACAAGACAGGACACAGACAAAACAGTTAAATATGCCACAAATAATTGCATCCCAACCACCGAGAGTGTTCGAATTTGCTTGTCTTTATACATGTACAAATTGATCCTTAGAAGGTTGATTTGTGGCTGTTTTTGACTGACAGAAGATGGACACAATAAAAGGATCTATACATTGATTTAATAGTTATGAATTAACTGTTTTTACAATTCATTGATTAGTAGCTAGACTAAACGTATCATTTAATCTCTGACAGTAAGATGATAGTATCTCAGTTTGATTTATCTATCTGCTACCCTAATCATGAGTTCAACCTTGATGAGGAGATTGTTAACTTGTCTAATCTTATCAGTTGCAGCAGTTTTACTCATGTATATGTTTACTCGGAACTTGAAAACAATCTTACCAGGTTTGTAGCAAGAAAATAATAATTATTTAACTAACGATGTTGCATTTAAAGTGTTTTCAAGTGATCTGTTTTAACTCACTTTAAGTTCAAGTGAGGTTTTTTTGTTTACCTGTCGTCTCTCTTCCCTCTACCTGTTAACTATTTTCGACTTTTTCTCCGGAATCATGAAATTTATGCGAAATCTTTCTGAAAAAGTGTCGATTAAATTTTCTTTTTCTTTTTTTTCTTTTTTTTTTTCTTTTTTTTTTTTTTTTTGGTTGTTGTTGTTGATGTTGGGTTTTTTTTTGTTTTGTATTGAAATCATGATAGTCGAAGGTTCATTAGTAAGAAAGCCAGCTAGTCCGAAAGCCAAATATATTACGATCGATGGTTTACCAGTCCAAAGTGTGCTATTTTGTAATCTGTAAAATCATAAGTACGATTTTTGTAAAGACAAAAAGTTACCTCAGTTTTATGTTAATTATTTATCATAAGGTTTTCGGAGGTTTTACGATATACATTCTTATGAAGATTTTTTGAAATTTTGTAAAGTTTACTTACAAAAGCCAGAGCAAAGACCAAATCAATTTAAGATTGGTATCGACAACTTCATTAGCTTAAGGTCTCATTGTGTCACATTGTGAATGGCTTCCCCATACAAACTACCCTCAATGCCCAGGAAACTCATTCAAGATGCATTAACAGTGCCAAAGCTAATTTATTTCATAAGCACAAAGACAGCAAAAATTTTCAAACACATCAATATACATGTATTATAAGAAAGCGTACCACAAAAGTAGTAAATAATATTTTAAACGACTTTTTCCAGGAAATGCTGTCACAATGTAACCTTCCAATTAGCAAACCTTCCCCATGGAAGGTTTACTGTGTAAAAAAAAATTCTCCATTGAAAAGAGCACTTTCTTTTGAAATACAGTGCATTTTTTTCTTGAATAATTTTGATATTTTCACATTGTGAAATAATATTTCTAGTGTGATGTGAAAATAACCACCAGAACACTTGTATGTAAAATGAACAGTGAGGACAAGGCAGCAAAAGTTCGGAGAGCAAAGGAAATAGAATAAAGTTCAATGTTTTATAGTTTGAAATTAAATTCATCTCAGTCGTGAGGGATCATATTTTAATATTGTCACTCAAGTTTTGGTCTTGCGAAAATATATTAAGAAGATAAATTGATGCAAAGCATCAAAAAAAAAAAAAAAAAAAAAAAAAAAAAAAAAAAAATTCACTTCTTCTTAAAACTGTTACAATTCATTATTTATTTTAGGCACTGTTATTCATATTCGAAAACTTAATAGGTTTTGTTTTTATATCTTATGCACGCCCATGTTGGGGGACAGTTCATGTTACAACTTTTTACAAAAATAATGAATATCTAGTGAGAAATGAAAAACAAAATGAAACGCTATTACAAATATTTAGAATTAATATTAACAAACTCTTTATAAATATTTTATTCACAGCTTATATGTATGTTATCAATAAGAAAATATTCCATCGAAACTATGAAAAAAATAACGTCTCTTTTACCCATGTGCACATTTTAACACAACCACAAATAGATCGACCGCTCCTGCGACCAATAATTAAAACCTGCCGCAAGCGTGAAATGAATTCCGAATCCAACTACAATACATTAAATATTCTCTACGGAAAAACAACTTTTTCCTCAGACATGTAATGAAAAGCGGTGTTTTCATTAAAAGTGTCTATATCATCAATTCAAGAAGTCTTATATAATAATATGACATGTACAAACATATTTTTCACTTGTATGCATGCGTCTGAAAAAACAAATGTAGGCGTTCTGTCTAGCGAACCTTCGGACATGTCTACCTTTGGACTAGTGAATCTTCGAACTATTGAACCGCGACCTACCTACGAAACAGCATCAAAACATAACTTGCGGTCTGCAAAACTCGTTTCACATTTCAATATACTACAATAAAAAATACCTTAAACTAGATATCACAACCCTTCTCCTGAAGCACAATTTGCAGTCAGCAACTTGTTAAAATTTGAATTTACATGTAAGCATTTCCAGAAAGAATTAATTATCCTGATAACTCTCATTTCTCTCTCTCTCTCTCTCTCTGTGTGTGTGTGTGTTATAAATATTTTGTTTGTGAAATAAATATGAGTTAGGATGATGATTTAGATTCTATTTATTTTTAAGATTTTCGAAGGGAGGTATTGCGCAAGATGGAAACAAAAAGGATGGAAAAATGTATTGTGCAAAAATATAGTCGAACGATTTGGCAAAGGATTTCTCACTTGCGACATCGGTGCAGTCTTTTAAATCAGTCCCAAACTTGGATAGATACAATACAGCTCTACCATTGGAAAAATATAAATTATTGCAAGGTTCCAAAATGTGGAAGTACGTTTTGGATGCAGGTATTCTTGGTTCTGAACAAACTAAAAAATGTCACGGAGATTTTTGGCGAAAAGCGATCTTCACAACATATCATTCCAATGACTCAGATTTCAACCTGGAACAGTTTATCTGGTTCTGACGTTATATTTCACGTGACAAGGAATCCATACTCACGTTTATATTCGGCATACATCGACAAAATATTTCTTCCAGGATTTTCAAAATTAGCCAGCGATATTAATAAAATGAATGGAAAATCTTGCAACAAGTCCGTCAGCTTTGAGGAGTTTTTGAAATTCATCCTGGCTGATTTTCTTTACGAATCGCACTGGCAACCCATATCATCTATGTGTGCATCATGCTCTGTGCCTTACAACGTCATTAGTAAGCAAGAAACATTCAACACAGATGTCCATTTCATCCTCGATCAATTAAACATATCCAACCTTTTAAAGCAAGAGTTTTTGAAAAATATAGTGAAAAAACGCACGGAAAATTCAGTTAGAGAGATCACCAAAGTCATGATAGAATTAGCTAAAATCGCCCCGTGTTTAACATATTTACAGTTTAGTAAAAGATTATGGAAATCTTTTCAAATTCAAGGATACATATCCGATTCAGTATCTTTTCCGGTGAGGAAGTTCAAGTCTCTTAACTTTGATAATGTTGAAGGCACTGTGCGGGCATATTTAGAAGGTAGTAAGAAAGATATTTTGCAGGAAACGAAGAAGAAAGTCCAACGACAGCGATATCTGGCGAGAGCATTTTCAACACTCAAATCGAGAACGATTCAGAACATTCAAAAGGCATACAAAAATGACTTCGATTTATTCGGTTACTCGTACGATTTACCAAAGGAACATTTGACATAAAAATACATAAAGGCACTCCAATTTATTGAGAGATAAACTCTTTGAAGTATCATACAGTTGCTTAATCAAAACATAATATCTCTGTCCATAAAATCGAAATCGATTTTTTTTTATTGCCGTAGACATCGATAGGCTGAAGAATGCATTCAAATAAAAATAAAGTTATACTTTTAACAGATGGTTTAATTGGGGAAAGGTAAATGTACTATGATTAAGGTTAAGTTATCTTTTTTGTCATCTATAGTCATACAATTACCACAAATCACACAAATACAGTTCGACTTTTTGAATTTATGCCACCGGCAATCGAGGCATAATGATTTTTTTCCCATTTGAATCCATGTTAGACATCCGGCAAATGTAAACGCACATAAAACTAAGGACCACTTTGTTCAATATGCACTGCCAGCTTCGTGTTAATCTACATGTTAAGCACTAAGGAGCTTATTTTCATGGATTAACCTTGAGATGCAAACATTTATACAATTACATGGCGAATAAAATAACGTTTTCTTTATATGCACAAAAATCTCATTAATTTCCGAAACGAAAGTACGCCCTTAATTTAAACAATATTTTATTATGATTAAACATAACTGGATTGGACAGCAGGCACTGCCTATATAAGTCCTCTCCCTTTCCCGAAGAGAAACGTTTATTCGTTCATTGGTGTTTCGAGTATATCTAAGCCGTACATTAGTCTGTTACTGAGGTATTTATTCTGTGCCATTAGGAAGCAATCGCATCATCTCGGGCCTTTCCGTCGGAGGTCGGAAAAACAACATCGAATGCATTAACATCACCGGATGTTAAAAATTTATACAACATGGAGTCGCTTCCTATTTATTTAAGTATTGGATAGACGGAGTTGAAAGTCCCTTCTATAGTATATTTTAGGTAGTATCTTTACATTCAATGAAGTTAAACTCCACACTCCACGGATAAGAGGTCTCCCACATTTATTTCAATGTTTGTGAAAAGGGGGGTTGTCATGGCGTCTGCGTAATACATTCGAGGTTGTTTTTCCGCTAGTCGGAAAGGCCCGAGAAGTTGCGATTGATTAGGAAGGCCACAATTTTGACATCTGAATATTACACTTTCCGCTCGCTTTAAAGGGTGACCATGCACTCCTTTTTTGTCCAATATATATATATATATATATATATATATATATATATATATATATATATATATATATATATATTGCTGCTTTTTTTCACTTGCATCTACTAAGATAGGTCATGTGTTGATATGAATTAAAATAGTTTATTTTGTCTTTTTAATGTTGAAGGGGGGGGGGCACTATCAACTACCAAAATTCCTTGACAAGCTAAAAAAAAAATTAAAAAAATAAAATTAGCTATGTTTTCTATTGTATTCTATATGCATGTATCGGCAAAATTATTGGGGGGCACGCCCCCCCCCCCGGTTCCTACGGCCATGATTATAATCATGAAAATATTCTTCCTGCCTCCTTAATGTCCAGGAGTAAAAAGAAAAGATTTTTTTCCAATATATCAAAAAGTTAGTCAGTCCCTGGGTCCTGGAACTTAAGTGTTATGAATTTAACAATTTTCCATTTAAATGAAACGCATGTGATACCTATTACATCAAATTGTAAAATCGTGGTTGGCTACATGGGTGTAAATGTAAAGTGAAGACAATTCTTGTCTAGAATTGGAATGTTATTTAAAAGTGCTTGGACACAGATTTGAAGTTAATTTTTTTTTTTAAAGTTTTCGGTATAATATCATGACTTATATGTTGCTATAACATTTCAAACGGAAATAAACTAAAAAAAACTTATTTATCTGGAAATTATTGAAACTACAAATTTCGGGACGCGTTTAATTGATACATCCTAGCACTTTCATAAAGCAAACTTTATCCTTAATACTTAAGAGAAGTAAAATTTTTATTGTGTATTAATGAAATATATTCAAACTATAATCCAGAAAATTCAGAGTAGAAATGTAAGAAAGCAAAACCAACTCACCAGTATTGTCAGTCCGTGCTCAGTGATGTGTGCAGAGTTTAACAAATTGAACACATCCGGTGAAACGTAAACATTAACAATAACAGAGCTCGTGCCCTGTTTACAAAAACAGTTTACGTTTCACGGGTGTGTTCATTTTGAGTTGGTTTTGCTTTCTTACATTTCTTCTCTTTATTTTCTGGATTATAGTTGAATATTTTTCATTAATGCACAACAAAATTTCTACTTTTTTAAGTGTTAAGGATAAAGTTTACTTTGTGAAAGTGCATAGATGTGCCAATCAAACGCGTCCCGAAATTTGTAGTTTCAATAATTTCCAGATAAAATAAGGTTTTTATTTTATTTCTATGTGAAATGCTATATAAACATATAAGTCATGGTATTATACCGAAAATATGAGAAAATATTAACTTCAAATCTGTGTCCAAGCACCTTTAACAAAATAAGTTTGGAGATGACCAGTGACAAAGAATGCAAATTTACGACTTCCAATTTGATTGAAGAAGCAGTTGTTCATGATGTCGAAAAGCCTGGTAGATCTTTGATATATGGCGGGAATTGATTGTATAGAACTGAAAAGTCGTACGTTTTGGTGCTATTGATTTTGTTAAAGTTTTGAGTTTTGTGATTTCAATTCTTTGAAAGCCCCTTTGAGTTTTGAACACAACTTTTCAAATATACTGTTTTATAGTACTCCTGAAGGTTTCCCCTTGCTTCTGTTAATATATTAGAGATGAGTGAAGAAAAAGGCAGTGTAGAACATTTACAAGAACACGCAATGTATCCTTATTTGTAAGGATTTAATGAAGTTTAGGAATCTAGTTTAGGTATGGTGATTCAAATTCAATTTGGTTTCTTTTATTCCAGTCTCAAGGTCTTTTTCTTCATATTAAACCCATCGTCTGGCATAATCTTCGACAAAATTCATAATTTTTCATGAAATGATGCTGCCATTTTTTAAACTAGAATTTTTCCCTGCTAAATTCTTTCACGCCTCCTCCAACTTTGGCCTGATCCAAGTTTTATTTGGATGTGCATGTATGGAGATCACATAAACTTTGGGGTATATCGATTTTTTAAAAATCTGATAATGTTACCATAACTCCTTGGAACATCTAAAAATAATTTGATTGTCAATATGTTGCTCCTTATACAGTTTTCAATAAACTTTGATGAAGCCTGTGTATATGTGTACTCAATTAGGATTATTCTGTCTAAGCAATACACACTGATTTCAAAAACATGTGTTGACTCCCGTACTTATATAAAGTAATTTTGAATTTACTAGGTAAAGTAAAATTTACAACTCTGTACAAAGAGGTAAAATGTGAGAACTTTCAGAATAAAGCTTCTTCAAGAGTTTCTATTTGGTATGAATATATATCCACCCCTCCCCTCACACTCTTACAAAAATAAATAAAAAGCTAAAACAAAAACAAACATTTTTTATCATTCGCTTCTTAATTTTGAGCGTAAATGAAATGTTTTCAGAGGAAAGTGTTAGAAAATGAACTGAAGCCAATTTCTTTTAGTCTTATCTGAGGAAGACCTCTTAGCTTCTACCGTTTTGTTTGATGTTTACTTTAAAAGTATACACTTTTTTCAACTAGTTGTATCCCAAATTATACAACCAGGTGTGAAAATATACTTTATACAAATTGACGTTACTAAGTGATCAATTATTATTATATACATGCATAAAAAAATCATAATTGAATGAATGTTATTCAGCAATAAATTATACAGAAGTACGAGTATCCATTTGGATTCTGGTTTGATAAGATTTAGTCCCGTTAATTGAATGTAAATAGACGTGTTTCTTAGGTTGTTGTTGTCATTTGTGAATGTTAATGCGTTATCATTAAATGTTCAACAGATTTGTTTTAAAAAAATAGATCCCCTCAAAACCTAAGATATGTCTATTAATAAAAACTTCTTCAGCTATATATCTCCTCCAATTACCATCAAAGTTCCGTTTTCTGTTTGTCGTTTCTTCGATGATTTAACCTTTATCGGTCGGAAAGTTCATTGAAAGAATGATGTCCGCAGTGGTTTCCTTTGATTTACTTGGTATCTGGAGATCCGCCTACCCCGGTTACCGTAGATTGGGCGGGGGTATCGCATTATGACTCACGTAAACCCAACTTGTTTTTGTTTTCCTATGAATTATTACTGGAGAAATGTGCACGATTCGCTGTAGCCCCCTCGTTACGTAGGATCTACCTCTCTTATCTCGGAGAGGAACTATTGACTCGCAGATACCAGTGTATTGTGCGAGGATTTATTACCTTAAATTAGACTTTGGTTCCTTATGTAAAGATATAAAAACGCATCACATTTAGATGGAATCGCATAATTAACTTAAAGAGTTGTCCAGTCGTTGTCTGAGTGTATTTCATGTAGACCATTGAAAGAATTATAGACCTAGCAGCAAAGTTCCTCCAGCGGACCAACCTTCGAACCATGTTAAAGTTAAGGATTGTTACATCATTAATTTTCATTTTGGTCGGCGTATCTTATTCTGTGGAAGATAAAAAGGTGAGGTTTTACACTGGAAAAACCGTTTTGCTAAATATCCACAAGTTATTGGCTGTAATGTCCAAAAGGTTGGCTGAAAGCCTAATCATGTATATACAAAGTGCGAAAACTAAAATAAAAATTAACATCTCACTGGAGAATTGATTCCTTATATTGAAGATTGTGCACAGAATAATTTGTTGTTTTTTTTTTTAATGTTTTTTTTAATTTGGTGTGTGACCATTATTATGCGTGTCCGAAGAATCTCAGGCGTCATGTTCCAACACAAAATATAAATACGATGGTATTTGTTGTACCGTTTTAATTTCCAGTACACCCACAAGCCCGAATACATGAAAACGTTTTAATTGAAGCCTTCTTTTGCAAGACAGCTTCCGATGCATGAATCTTTTTGCAAATATAAATGTCTATACAAATTTAGAATTTATACATGAAACTGATATTTACTGTAAAATTTAGAATTACA